CCCTAAACCCTAAACCCAAGGTGAAGCAGAGTCAAGCCACCTCACCAGCCAGCGAAACGGCACGTTTCGCTTCATCCAGCGTGGGATACCTTAATTAGGGTCCCATTCAGAGGGTTTAGGGCTTATTGTTGTAAGTTGTAGGGTATTGGGTTCAGGGTTTAGCGTTTAGGGTTTAGGGTTAGCTGGGAATGAGGATGGCTCAGCACTAGCGGGCTGCAGATGTGTTATCTACATGCCTTTTTTTTACCTTGATACCCTAAACCCTGAACCTTAAACCGCGTGGCTCATAACCGTCCATGGACCTTCAAGTGGACGCTTGGCGCGGCCAGCTTGAAGCTCGATCTGGATCTGTAATTTAGTTTAGGGTTGGGGTTTGGGGCTTATGGTTTGGGATTTAGGGTTTACGGTGCATCAATAAGATGTCACTGCCCAAGGGCTCCTGTGAAGTGCCTTTTGGGCTTGATCTGTTTTGTTGGTAAGGGACTAGAAAATAGGATCTCCCAAGCCTTGAACTCTAAACCTTAAAAGGAGCTAAGTACGAGGTTTTTGGAAGATAGTCAGCTATAGCCGATATAGCCTTGTAGGTGCAAGCAGTGGAAGCTTCTCCAGTTTAGAAAACACCCCCCCCCCCCACACAACTCTGCCACGACCAGCCGATATCTATATCACACACCCCACCGGACATGGGCTTGCTTTCCCCCACCTTCTCGTACACCCTACACCGGATATCCTGAAAATCCATTGCCTAAACCCTAACACCCTAAACCCACAAACCCTAACCCTAAACACCCCAAATCCTGAAAATCCGGGGACTTGGTCACCTTGACACAAGTTTCTTTGATCCCTACTTGGCCTAAACACTAGAACTCCAAATCCCTAACCCCTAAACACCCGAAATCCTGAAACCCTTGTCCGAAAGCAGTCATGCATTTGGTAGTGTCCCAAAACAAGGGGATCCTAAGATAGACTCCAAACTACTTCAATCCTTATCATGGGGACCCCCAAAAAGGTACCCTTAATTTTGGGAAATCCACCATTTCTAACACTACTCCAGGGCTTGCGAAAAAACCATTGGCTTGACGTAGCTTCCCTCTGCTTTTCCGCCAAAACTAGAGGGGGGGGTTAGGATTTCAGGGTTTAGGGTTTTGGGGGGTTTAGGATTTAGAGAGTTAGGGTTTTGGGGTTTAGGATTTAAGGTTTAGGGCCCCACTTCCATCAACATGATTGTACTTGCTGGTGCTTACAGGAAGCAGTCACTCAAGGCAATACAGGCATTCTTGGAAAGTATTCAGGTAGCTGTCTTTAGGACCCCCCCCTAGAAGTTAAACTTTTAGCCTTATTGATATAGAAAGTAGGGAACCCCAAAAGCTAAAGTCCTACCAGCCAGGCAGAAGACAGCCAAGTTCGTGGGGTTGTGAAAAAAGATCATCCTAAGCACTAAATCCTGAAAAGGTTTATGCCCCCACTCTTGAGCACTAGTAAACAAGCTGAAAGGTTGTAGAGCGCTGGTCGCAAACGGAAGCCAGCTAAGGTAGCTCAGGGTTTAGGGTTTAGTTCGAAGAGAATCCAGGGAGTATACCGTCTAGGAGACCAAATAAATTGAATAGTGTCTGGGGGAAGGGGTGGTGGGCTCTAATGTGTTTCTGTGAGAGTTCTAAAGACATGTATTATATGTTCAATATTTCATGATCCTGCATTACCCATACCTAAACCTAAAAAATATGTAAAACAATAGCCCTAAGCCTGAAATAATTTATAATAGCCCTAAAGGCCATTATTTTACAGACTTTTGGGGTTTAGGTAAACCCTTGACCAAGATCCGGAGCACATGAAGGCCGAACCGATGTGGAGGAGCGGCGTGCTGTAGCCCAGGGACCTTTGAGCAGGTCATTGGCAATAACGCCTCTGCTTTGGGGGTCTTTACGTAGGGTTAAGACAGATGACTTCAAGCAGACGAAGGGTCTGAACAATGTTCAGGGAATCCGCTTTCATTGTAAAAAGGGTCACCTGTCTGGGCATTCGGTCTTAAGCTTTGGTGATTCAGCTCTTTGTCTCCATCTTTCAGAAACTACACCTTTCTGCGAATAGAGGAAGCAAAAGTGGGACGCTAACTTGAGCCGGCAAGGGACCCTCAAGTATCCCAAACGCTGAAACGACAGATGCACAGCTTTCTCACGTTCAAGTTACTACTCATACTCCAGCAAAAAATGCGGGTCATCCAAGGAGTAGTGGCAACAACGTCTTTCTCTGAAAAAACGGGTTGCAAACCAAGCCAGGCGTGATACAGACATGTGTACGAATGCTACATCGCAGTTCGCTGAAGCCAACATCAGCGCACGCAAAAACGCCTGCACCTTCTCCCACATCTTGTGCGTGCGCCGGTAACACAAGCAAGACCCTAAACTCCGAATACTCGATTCTTCTATATACACCCCAAAAAAAACTAAACCCTAATCTCTTAAAATAAAACTTGGAATACCTCAAACATCATCAAACCCTGAATCTGATATACTTCAGGTCCTAAATAACCTGAAGTGCCCTCAGCCCTGAACACACCTTTCAAAGGGTTTAGGGTTGAGTGCTTGAGGGTTCAACCCTACACATCCAAAAACCCTAGCCCAAATACCCTGAAACCCCAACTGCCCTACATCCAAAAACGCTCAACCTCAAATATATATATATATAATATTTGTGTTCATTTAATACAAATCTAAAATACTCTGCCACCCTGAAATATCAAATATTCCCCCATAAGAGAGCCTTAATCTGCTAGCATCCCCTTGCATAACTCCTATAATGCTCCCCTGAAATAGCCCCCTATATAACGCCCTTAAGGAGTCTAGACTATAGCTCATATATCGGGGGCCATGTTTGATACTAGGGGTCGGGGAGGAGAGTAATTTGGAGGTGCATGGGGCTTCGTAACTACTTTCTTTGGGGATATAACCCTGCTTAACATGCGATAACAAAAGCAGGTCAAGTTAGCTGGATTGTAAGGAAGGTTAGAAGCCCAGCTATAATTACTCGCAAAGTCCCATGAAGCCTAAACCGTAAGCCTTAGACCCTAAACCCTACGTCCTAAACCTCCAAGTATTGAAAGTTATCATGAGGTTTATGTTATGGTCCCCCTTAAGTAGACAGAGTATGGCTTCGGGCATATTATAACAAGATCCCCACATACCCCATATGCCATCTACTTAACGGGGACTATACGTAGTATCCCTAACAACCCCATTATTATAATAAGATCCACAAACCCCATGTTCCATCTACTTAATGGGGGCTATAGTAGGAGGGGATGAAGTTTTCAGGCAGGTTGCAAGAAGCGCTCTCCAAGACCTCGAAGGAAGTCGATGGCCTGATTCCACGGGTTTAAAGCTTAGGGTATAGGGTTTCTTCTAAGGTTTAGGGTAACCCTAAACCCTAAACCCTAAACCCTAAACCCAAAGGGTTTTCGGGTTTAGGGTATCAGGGTTGCACCCCTGGGTTTGGGATTTTGAGATTCAGGGTCCCCTTAAGGGGATATAGGGAACATAAGTGATATCTGGGGATATATAGGGTGGTAGTAGGATTAGGGCTTGGGGCTCAGATGCAACTGATGCAGGGAGGGCCCCCAGGGTTTCGGGCTTCAGGGTTTTTCGCGGTTCGGGGCTAGGGTATGTATACATCTTTGTACATACTTATGTATTAATGTTCGTGCATGAAAATATGCATGCCTGCATGTATGCGCGTATGTATGTAGGTACGGGTGTAATGTATGTATATGTATGTATATGCATGTATATGTATGTAATGTAATGTATGTAACGTATGTAATGCATGCAATGTATGCAATGTATGTAATCTATGTAATGTACTGTAAAGCAATGTAATGTATGCATGTATGTTTGTGATGTATGTAATGTATGTAATGTATGTACGTATGTGATTAATGTATGTAATGCAAGTAATGTGATGTAATTGTAATGTAAAGTAATGTATGTAATGCAAGTAATGTGACGTAATGTAATGTAAAGTAATGTATGTATGTGTGCATGTATGTATGTATGTATGTATGTATGTATGTATTAATGTAATGTATGTGTGTGTATGCATGTATGCATGTATGCATGTATGCATGTATGCATGTATGTATGTATGTATGTATTAATGTAATGTATGTGTGTGTATGCATGTATGTATGTGTGCACGTAGGCACGTAGGCGCGTATATATGTAGGTATGTATGTATGTATGTATGTATGTATATGTATGTATATGCATGTATATGTATGTAATGTAATGTAATGTATGTAATGTATGTAATGTATGTAACGTATGTGATGTAATGTAAGGCAATGTAATGTATGCATGTATGTATGTGTGTTTGCATGTATGTATGTGTGTTTGCATGTATGCAGGCATGTCTGCATGTATGTATGAATGTATACATGCATGCATGCATGCATGCATGCATGCATGCATGCATGCATGCTTGCATGTATGCAAGCATGCATGCATGTATGCATGTATGCATGTATGCATGTATGGCATGTATGCATGTATGCATGTACGTATGCATGTATGCATGCATGCACGTATCTCTGTATGGCTGAAGCTACATGGAGCCCAATCCTCATTATTTGCAGCATTTTGCAGTAGGGAGGCGCCCAAGTTATGCTGAGCCTGAGTAATTGCCAACATGACTCCCTTGACACTCCATGTACATGTAGCTCATAGTATACCCAAGGTCCCTACATAACCAGGTTGTAGCCTGTAGTCCATCATATCTAACCTACTTGCCATGTTCCGTCACAGACTTACCTAGTCATAAGGTTCCCCCCTCCCCTCAAAAGAATCTCCGCCCACCACCTCCCCTAGTCTGTTTCAAAAGTGCTAGCAGTCACAGGGATGGCTCGTGTCCCGGCTGCCATCCTCGTAACTGCTGTGGTTCTTGGTGCCTCGAAGCTGCCATCCTCGTGTCACTTTCTGCCTCTCATGCTTTCGTCGCGTTTCAAAAGTACCAGCAGTTACAGGGATCCGGGTGGTCCTCAAGGCGATCCTTGCAACACTGACGTCGCTTTAAAACCTCATATTGTTGTCGCGTTTATAAGTACTCACAGTCACAGGGATCCGGGTGGTCCTCATCTTGTACGAGCCTTCTACAAAACCATGAATCCTTCTTGATGCCTTCTATGAACCACCCATAAATCCTCTGTAACCACTACCAACCCTCTATTAACATTCCACAAACCTAACGTAAACCACAAGACCCATACCACAGCCGACAGGACCACAGGGGTGGGTAATAGTTCAATCCTAGCTTAGGAACTTAGCGCGTAGAAGATAGCCACCATAGCATGGGGGGATAGCCAAAGAGGTCCCCAAAAGCACAACGGTGTTCTCAAACCTTCATCCCTCCAGAAAACTTGCGGCAAGACAGAAGAGCCATGAAAAGGATACGAGAACATCCTGTATATACCACCAGTTTCCATTTCATTTTCCATTTTCTTATCCATTTGATTCTCCATTGTTGGAGTAATTTCCCTATCTAGACCCGCAAGCTTGGAAGTTCTAGGTTTGCAGGCTGACCTTGTTGGATTAACCGCTTCTGAGGCGCAGCAACCCGTGCGGGACGACGACAGTGACGATGGCATTGAGGCCCAGGGCAATGTAGGTGCCGGACTGATGGAAAAAGGATGGAAGCTGCTTGATTATTTAAGGTCTAGGGTTCAGGGCTATGGGGCCTCAATAGTTTTAACAATCGAGAATCGAATGGGCAAGAACATGGACCTCGAAATGAAGCCGCGCTTATACAAGACGTTCCAGGCTCTGTTTTGTCTTCGCTGTCTGCTAGTAGGGGATGACGGGAATGGAAACTAAGAGATGTTTGGGGGCTGCACAGTTACTCCAGGGATCCATCCATCCATCCAACTTATAGTAGTAAGTCTTGCAAACTGCCAGGCTTCCTTTTGCACTCTTGAGGCATTGCATGCAGATGCGTACGATTTGGTGTTCAGAGCCTCTGAAAGTTCTGAGGCCCTTGCAACACGGACTGTTACATGCCCATGTTGCAATTGGTCGGTTGTAGGCCATGTAAGTTAGAAGGTCGAGGATTCGGGTGGGCTTCAGGATTGAAGGTTCACATTGTTTAGGATTCAGATATCCAGTTTTTTAACGCGTATGGGTTTAGTGCTCGCAATGTCATGGCCACGCCGACCCGAAGTTGCACATGTGAGCAACCAATTGAGCAACTAGGACACTAGCTACAAGAGAGAGTCAGGTTTCAGGGCGCTCTGGACTTTGGCCGCGCACGACGACCTGGTGCGCAGTAGGAAGTATGGGATGAGGGTAGGGAACATTGCCGGAAACTCAGCAGCAATCCCTGTCTTGCATGCACCGATCTCAGCATCAGCATCATACCTTGCAATGATTTTGGGAAGTAGGTTGTGTGTCTTGACGCCTGCCTAGCATTTGAGGCATTTGAGAATTTAGGGCTTGCTGTAATCCAAGCAATGTCCTCACGGGTCAATGCTACGCTCAAAGAACAAGGCGCTGAACCCTGTTGGCCATTTCCCCCCGACATCAGCTGTGCGAGAGGGCTCGGACATGGACTTCGAGGATTGAGTCTGTGAGTGAGCGTGGGTATGGAAGCACCGTCATGCTGGGACACACAATGCTTGTTTCGCAAAAGCAGGTAAAGTAAGCATATAAATCAAGCACCATGAGCACGGGGAGTTCGGAGAAATGATCAAAGCAGGATTTGGGCACACGGTTCAGTATTGGTTTCCTATAAGTTGCACAGCTATGCACGGCTCCCGCAGAAACAAAGAAGAGATGTTTGCATTCGGCATGTCCTGAGACAACCAAGGAACTTAATCCCACAAGACTAGGTTGCTGTTAAGTATCCTTCTTGTAAACTACTATAACAAGTCAGGAGAGCCTGCCATTTACCATATTCCATATCATGGTAACTTGATTTAAGCTCCTTAACAGCAATCCAGCAAGAGCTTCCGGGCCGCGTTTGGTCTACTCAGGGACAGAGTTTAGGGGAGTGGGTTTAGGGGCGGATTTTTGGTAGGATTGACTTTTTGAATCTCAACCATCCCAGCAAGCCTGAGGACATCTAACTCCCATTGGGAATCTCTTTTTCTTCTCATTTTTTGTTGCATTTGGAGAAGCCATGAAATGATGTCTTCCAATGATTCGAATATTATCGTCTTCACAAAGAAAATTAAGAGGGCGCTCTGGTTAAGTTGTTTACAGGCAACCCCCCCCCCCTCCCCCAAGAAATTGGGGGACATCGTTTATCATTAAGAGATGCGAATACTTGAATCCTAACTCCAAAGCTACAAGCTTTGCGCACGAAGCCCGGAGCGACACTGCACCTGACAGCCTGAAGCCTGATGCCCAGCGGAATTCTGATGAATCTACAGCCTGCGGGCGCGTAAGTGGCGGTATTCAGTCATCTGAGCAAGGTGGATAGGTTACGTTACTTGGATAGGTTACGTTACTTGAGTGCTCCTGGCAACCAGGGATTGGCTACTTATGCAGGCTTGGTTCTTGTATGTTCGGAGAAGGAAGCACCCACGAGGCGCGCCGGTCACCGGCGTTGTTGACTTGCAGTCCGGCAGTCATTTTTATAGTTCACCCTGAGCACAAATCTGCAAGTATGGTACCAAGAACCTCCAATGCAGCAGCATCAGCAGCACGGTGGAAGTGTCTAGGTCTAGTACAGGCATCTCAGCAAAAGTAGTATGTGGAATGTGGGCACCCCAACAGCTACTAATGACATTACCCTCTGAATTTCTTTCGTGGCTGGATTTTTTTCTACTTCACATGTACCTCCAAGCCCTAGACTGCGTTATTGCTAGACATGATAAGCCGCTGTAGAACACCCGAGGGGTATTTCGGGAAAATGGTTTATTTCAGGAGCTGTGCTATACTATATACTCATAATAAAGCTTCTGAGAGCTTTCCAGCCATGGTCGCGCTGCCGCAGACTCAGAGCTCCTGTTGATGGCCAAGTGAGCTGTTAGCATCGCTACAATGAATTAAGGATGGACATAGGGCTCTTTATGATAAAGTACAGGCCTTGCAGCAGTCGCGAAGATGCCATGTGCATGTTTGACCAAATTGTGATGTCCTTCTGCCGCCCCAAAAGTTATCCTTCATTTTCGGAACGCACCGTGAAGGATCGTCATTTTGACACGGGCGCACATGATGGTAATTTCGAGGATGGTAACATGGTTCCTGCCCGGGCGATTCTCGAATGTGCTGTTGGTTTAACTTCTGCCTCAGAACTTGATTTGCTGCCTTTACCCCAGGATGCATATTTCACCGTAGGAAGGATCCAGAATTCAAACGGGCTTGCACATCTGTACCTGGCCCAAGGCAGGCAGATGACGGCATGGAAGAGAGCTCGGAAGGCCAGGCAAAATGGGTTTGTCAGCTTCTGCCAGGGATAATTGTCAGCCAGGGAGAATTGTAAGGATGACTGCGTGGATTGCTATTCGATCAGGATTAGGTCTGTTCTGGCGGTGCAGGGAAAATGTCAAAGCATGCGTAATGTTCCAAGAGTCCGTATGCACATATCATATATGCTATTATGTGGAGACAACCTCCAAAGAATGCGTCGAGTCTACGCAAGGCCCATTTCTTTGTTATATGGACAGCCTAGGATGGCACGTTGGCTCATGGGTCGCTGTGATCGTGCTAGCCTGTAGCTAGAGCTATGTTCAAGCACCAATAACGCTTCAATCACACAGGCCATTCTCCATTCCCAGAAGACGGGTCTGGGGCTGGTGCAACTTATAATGGCACATAGTAGTAGGGGATTTTGGAAACTACCCACATGTTAGAGATAGGCTTGTAACAGCCACGAGGAAGAGGTGATGTGCGTCCGCGGCTATGCAATGGCTACAGAGATCATCGTAATCGAAACCCTGGTTGCTAAGAATAGCTGCATTGTCGTGATGCTAGTGCTAGAATCATAGCAGCACTTTCGATGGACACCCTGACATCCTATGCAAATGCTACCCTAGACTTAGACCCTAACCTTACATCGCAAGCCTGAAAGCCTACCGTGGCTCCTGAGGGGCCGTGAGCATCAGCCACGAGGCCCGGATTGTGATTGCAACTCGTAATCTGGCTCATTGCTCTTCTCGCATCTACATGCTGCTTTTCTTGCTTTTGGATGTTGCAGTGGAGGGCAGCTATTGGGCCCCCCGTCAAGCTGATAGCCTTGTGGGGCGCCCTAAGACCACAACAAAGCTTAACCCTGAAGCCACTACCTTCCTGGCTTCCATGTTTGTTCGGGGAGTCTGAGCCAGGTTACCAGGGCCCCGCTCCTCTTTCTTGGGGGCCCCAAGCACTATTCGAAATGGGCGGGCTGCAGGTGCGACTGAACAACTTCGACTCGACGTTGGATGTGTTCTTCTCGAGCTCTGGGCACCATTTGCTCGCTTGCTGGGCTGCTGCCCAGGGCTGGCAACTGTCTACCAGTTCGGCACCAAGCTTGCCTTGTCAATCAGAAGAGCGGATGTGAGACGGCTTCTTTGTGCGTCCGCCGCCTTGCAGCTTCAACTGAGCCTTGACAGGCTTTGCTCATCTCAGAAAAGCACCTATGCCCCAATTTGATGCTAAGAATCAATCTCTTCGAGGAGGCCACACCCGAGAGTAAATGAAGAGAGCTTTGGCTTTCAAAGCTCACCTGAAGAAGTCACAACTTTTAATATTCTGCGGCTGGGTAGCTTCTCTGTTTGAGGCACTGCCGCCGGGGTCAGTGTGTGCAGGGCCAACAGCTAAAAACCGCAGACCTTCAACACCACGAAACCTAAAAACCCTACACCTACGGGTGGTGTGTAGGGAATGGAGGAGTGGATGCCAACAGTTGTCTCTTATTCTCCTATACTATTCGCTCCTTCGTTTCACATCAACCACCAGTAATCAAAGCAGCAAGAAGTTCTGTATACTCACGATTCTTTTGTCGTTGCGGTATTACCATATTTGCATACGCATCTTATTATGTTCTTAAACAAATATAGATATTCTTCTATATGGCCATACTGCCAGTACGTCTCTCTTCTTAGCCATGGCGCCCGTGGCCTGGTCCTCTTTGCGCAACGCCGCGGCTGCGCCGCCCACGCTTTTGGCGCTTCGGTGCCAGCGGCGTTGGGACACCTCGCTGGGTCCTCATCTGGGGCAGTATATGGGTTATTTAAGTTTAGGGTTTAGGGTTTTAAGTTGCTGTTAGGGTCATTTAAATTATTACATTGGGGAAGCCCTACTCTTTACTATATATGCCCAGTGTGGTAACTTAGGGTAAGTTCCTTCACAGCAACCCAGCATAGGGGGTTGTTTAATGAGGGTTTAGGGTTAGCGGTTATACAGGGCTAAACTAGTTGTACAGGAATTTTATCCCTGAAGCTGGAAACGAACGGTTTAGGGTTTAGGGACACTGGAATGGAGGCTAGGATTATGGCATTATTGGTTGTTAGCAGTGAATGAAGGTACGCAAAAGCAAATGGAAACTACAGGGATGTATGGCTTCACCTACGGCAACTGGGGGCATATAGGGGTTTGTGGAGTTGCTGGTTGGAGAAGTGTAGAATCAAATGAAACATGAAACATAACATGGGATCTACTC